GAGAAGAGAGGGAGAAAATAAGACTAAATTAAAATACGAAAGTACAAATTCGCAATTTTCTCATGTAAATTCCGTAGTGATTTAATGGTGTTACTCGGGTTTACGACGATTGAGAAAAATAGCTTCGTGTCGTGCGACAGAAAAGGAGAGCTCGAGAAAATAAATTTTTCACGCTTTGCAACGCTAATGTTGATGAATCGCGTATTAACGCGTCAAATTCGAGAAATACAACCATAAGATCTCTAGATAAGATTTCTCATAAGATCTCTCAGATTAATTAAGATTACCTATCGAGTCTTACAAATTGCAATTAGATATGATAAGCCATCGTATTATCTAGTAATAAAATTGATAACTATAATTTCCCAATAATTTTACGACGATTATTAAATGAAGTAGAAATTATCGCGTTAAACGAGTTTGTAACAACTATTAATTTTATCACTGGGGACGCATCGCGTATTTTCCGTCACACTCGATTGACCCTGATTTCTGGATTGCTGAAACGTCGCGCAGATAAAATCCGATGGCTCCGGTTGCCCGCAAACGGGACGTCGCCGTCGAGACGGCGCTCGTCTCTGGTGCGTAGCGCGTGCGTAGCGACAGAAAAAAGTGACCTAATAAATCCAAGAGAGACGTCAAAGATCGACTAACGGAGCAACCGCTAGATATAACGATTATTATTTTCCAATGCTTTTTCGACCCGATCGCCGCGCGTTATCCCCCGAATATTTTTTCCGTCGCTTGTCCTTAACAAGTTTTAAAATCCCTTAATTTGCATAATAAAGATATTGTTAAAGGCGCCAAGAAATTACAATGCAAAAATTTCTACTGTAGAAAAAGTCTGTGCGGCAGCTAAAGTTTTTTCAACTATGTGGATTCGTGATTATATTATTTTATTAAATATACATAGAAAAAAGATAAAGACAAATATTATCATATGTAAGTAAGTAAGAATATTATAATCTTCTTAAAAAGTTTAGTCTTGATTTGAATTTGTATTGATGCAGGTATTTTTGCTCAACTTTCAAGCCTAAAAATCTTGTGTATAAAGATTATAATATTCTTGCTTATGTATGAGAATATCTATACTTGCATCGATACAAATTGAATCAAATCAAGGTTAAAATTTTTCTAATCTCGAGATTATTTAAGATTTTAATTTTTTTCTTGCGAATTAATTTTTGCATCAAGCTATTAATTCTGCTCGTGAGGAGATTGATTTCTTAGAGATATCTAGAAATCCGCCATTAGCAATTAATACAGACGGATTTCTCTGTGTAATCGATTAACCGCGAAAGATACCTACGTAAGATGCCGCGAGATGTTCTCGGAAACAGTTCGCTGAAACGCTCGGCAGTTTCGGTGCACCTTCGTGAGGCGCATTTTCCAGCAATAAAAACGACCTTGCCGCAAATTGCCGTAACCGCAACGAGAGCCGTTTCTTCCGTGCAACCGCGATATTCTTACGATGCGATTCCGCATTTGCCCGGGTCGTACCACCCACGATTTATGCAAGTTCCTCGCGCACGAATACGTACGCGTAAATGGACTACATGGATAATGCATATGTCGAAAGAAAGGAAGAAATTGCTTACGTAAAGTAACGATGATTTTTACCACAAGTTTCGAGAAATCTAACAAGATGGTTAAACGGCGCGATTGCGAAACAACGGGATAACGACAACGGGATATATGATAGTTAAATTGGACGGAATGTAACTTCGACTGTTACAAAGGAGTTATAAATGAGAATAAAATCACCCTTTGAACGTGGATTGCGGAGACTATTCTGTTACCGCGATTAAATTTATAATCCTCTTTTATAGACGGTTTCCAAGCCGTCTAATTGCGCGGATTATGACTCACAAAATGGCTGTGGCCGAAGCTATTTTAATGGTCGACTGGCTCTTCCGATGCCGAAAGGCGTCGCCGCTCCTTTTACGTAATCTCATGCAACCGGAAGGAATTGTGCGAAATTTACGGTACTTTTAACAGTTACTTTCTTGCGATTCGTCTTATTCCTCGAAATTAATTGTCAAAAAACGTCTCGTCCATTCGTCGCTGTTGACGAAGAAACGTTTCCATCGTGAAATCTTCGATCGGCACTAGGCGCATCGAATACGGCTTTGGATGCTGCGCGCTTTTTCCACCATTTTCCCCGAGATCCGAGAGAGGAATCGCCTCCGCGCCGATGCAGCGAGAGTGGCCGAGTGGCTCAACTCGCGCGGAAATCGGATCGACGAGCTTTCCCGCACGCGTGAATCCCGCGCGCGAGGGGACCCGCGTCCCTCCTGGCGCGCGGAAAACGCATCTTGCCGCCCGCGCTGCATCTCCCTGGCGCCCTGTGTCGGTCGTTTCCGACGTCCGTCGGTGTCGCTCGTGAACGCGGCGAGACGGACCCGCTCAGTTGAACGCTGACCGCCGTGTACGTGAGACCGCTCGTGAGAGAACTTGGTGTCAGCCACGCAGTCACGAGTCCGCCGGCTGTGTCGGCATCCAGCTGTTAGACGAGCCGTCAAGATCGACCCAAGCCCGCCGCGTGGGAGACTCGTCTCTCGCGAGGGTGGTGTCACTCGTGTTACTTTTCTTTTTTGTTTTTTTTTTTTTCTATCACTCGTCGATGAAAGCACGTTGCCACGAGGCCACGTCTGACTCGTGGGCGGAATTAATTGATATCTCACACGCGCTGCGTAAATAGCGGAAATATAGCTGTGTCGGTGACGGCGTAACGATAAGCTTCGCTCGCTCACCGCAAAATAGATATCGCGCAACTGACAGCTGAGTAGAACGCGGAGGGGCAAGGTCGGAGCAGCCGCTGCATCTGTTACCTGTGTGCCGCCTGTCACGAGCTACCGAATTGCGCAGCCGAGTCGCGTGTCTCGTCGGAAAAACGGATGCATTGATCATCGTCTCTCGGGCGTTCGAGGTCTCGCGAAGGACAGTCTTACGAGGTTTCGGTGGAGCGCTGGGAGATCCGCTGCCTCTCCTAAACGAATTTAATGAGCGAGCCTGTTCGGCCAATTTGTGCCACTTCACGCGGCGAAAGATCGGTGTTCCCTCTCTCCCTCTTTCTTTCCCTCCGTCGACGACGCGCGACGACGAAAGTTGACTGACCGACGTGACTCACGGGATCACGAGTCATTCTCGAGCCGTGGTGATCGTCGCGTCGTGTGATCGCGGGTGCGTTTCTTGCGGCCTTATCGCGTCACCACCGAGAAAAACATTGTATGATATCGCATTATTAACACGTCGCCGATCGCGTCTCGCGCGGGATTGAATCACGGGGGAAGAAACGCTTGTCCTTGAGCGTGCACCACGCTTTTGCTGGTCGCCTACGTGTATCGTTTTTAGCGCGGATTAATCGAGAGATTAACTGCGAGGGGAGAGAAGAATTGAAGAAAGCGATACTTCTCAAGACGTGCGCCGTGCTAATCGTCGAGTTGCATTCGCCTTCTAATTCAACCTCAAAGAGAAGATCTCCCACGATATGACAAAAGACAGTGACTTCTAGAAATCAGTCGCGTCCTGCAAATTCTTACGACTGATCCGTATCGCGAGTCATTCGCTAAGCTCTCTCGAGGAGTTCTCCTCCGATTTTCGCTTTCTCGACGAGGCCGAGCGACAGGCGTTAGCTTCGCCCGCTCCCGGCGTCACGATTAAGTGCCCGAGGACGGGGGCTGTTAGGAGAGGCGGTCACGTGCCACCTGTTACGAGCCGATCCGCAGTGCGGAAGGGTCGCGGGTGCCCGTCGCGGATCAGCGTGTCGGCCGTCAGGCAGTCGCAGGAGAATGCGACTTCGCGTGACGACGCAATCCTGGCTGATCCTGGCGGTAGGATGTTGACGGCCCGATCGGGGCCTCTCGGGCTCGGCGTGCCGCGAACCCTGGGGCCCGCGGAGGGAAGCGACCACCTCTTCCTGCTGCCGGAACGTGCCCTCGTCATGGATAGCACTCATCTGCGACAGGACCTGGCCGGTCTGGACTTCAACCTGCACCTGAATCTGCTGCACACCGCGCCTCGCGGCAACGTCTGGCTATGTGAGTTGTCGAACGGCGCTGATTTGTGTGACAGGAGGAGAAAAAATTGCCATTCGCGAAAATGCTTCTGACCTCCAGTTTTCCTCGTTGAGCTCGTTTCTTTTTTTGTTCGCACATTCTCGCGGAAGAAGATAATTTTATCTGTGTGCCATGCGACACGGCGGCTTCTGTCTGTTCTGATTATGGCAAATTGTGGCAAATAGATAATGAAGGACAAGAAATATAGATAATTGAGAAAATAAAATCAAAGATACAACTGTCTCTATTTTTTTTTGTTTTTTCAAATTGTTATAGATTTAACGTGGAATTTAACACTTAAATATTTGAAAAATGATATCCGAGATATTTTTATGAGCAAATAAAGAGTGGTAAATAAAAGATAAAATCATATTTTTTTTGTTACTTAAAGTTAATGCAATGTTTACTTTTTTCAGAGTAATATTATTTAATATTATATGAATTAGATAGAATTTGCTTAGGTCTGTATATACTTATTACTCCAATTGACGGGTATTAATCAAATTCTGAGATTATTCTAAGTATGCTATAGATAATATAAGTAAACTTGGATATAAGTAAACTTGGAATTTGTCCATTATTAAAAATTGCTTGTAATTATCGGGTGAATGTTCAGATAAAGATCTAAATATCTATAGACACAATATCTTGGTAATTTATTTATCCAATGGATAAGATGTGTTGAAATTATACCATCGCATGTTTTACGATACAATGTAAAACAACGTGTTACATTATTTTTTTATTTTAGAAACTCTAACACACATATACACACTTATTTTTCCATTTCGAAATAAATGGATAATATTCGAGTTATCCGGGTTTGTAATATTAATCTTATCTTGCCATAAGATCTTCCTTTTGACAAAGAATTTGGAAATCACAAAAAATTTGGCGAGACTTGAAAGAAGTGCGATTATTGCAATAAAATATTATCTAAAATATGTCGTTTGCAAACCGCACCTTCGTGTCATACATTCGCAGCATTTTTATCAAGAACGAAGCGCATTATAAACGAGGCTTCGCTTTGTGATGCCGCGCACTTTATTTCTCGGTACTTCATTATCTTCCGAAGGTGTGTGTCTCTGATAAAAGACAAACGTCAGAATGAGACATAAACCGGGTCGCGCTTCTCCTTTGCAATTTTTCGCGTGCCGAATCAGTAATGGGATGGCTCTCGCGGCATACCTCTTCCGCAAAAAAGCCGCGAACTGCTCTCGTAGATGACGTCGGATACGATTTTCTCCAGGATTTCGCGGGGCGAAATTACCAACGGAAAGAAAAAAACTGAGGAAGAATTACGGGCGGTCGACTGTACTCGTAAGTCTTGCGCGCGAAGCAAGAGACACGGAAGAGGATAAACAGCGTATAAAGAGTCATTTTCTTCTCGTAGCTGTAAGGAAGAGATTAGAAACTCCGAAACTCGAAGTCTGGAAGGAGATAAGACATACAGAGAGAGAGTTAACAGGTGCGCCGCGAAATTATCGCCAATTAAGTGCTTTTTTTGCCACCGGTAAAAGCGTAAAAGTCACGCTCGCGAATGAATACCTCGCAATTACGATGATCCGTCATCGTGCCTTTGTTTTTTTTTTTTTTTCTTTTTTTCATCGCAGCACGAGAAGCGACCATTAATTTGGTGGATGGAAGTTAATTAACGCGAATTGGTGCGTTCGTTGAGATCGTCGCGCCACGTGCGCCAACTTGCGTACGGTTCCTTCTCTCAGACGTATATTTTATCGAATACGAATGCGTCTATTGCCTACACTTCTTACGGCACCTGACAATTATTACAACGTATCCTGTTGCCCGTAACCGGCGATAATTGGAGCGGAGTAACGGAATAATTAGCATGCGACTGCACACCGAGTTTAAGTTATTACATACCTGACCGTGGACTTCTTGGCAAATTTATTTTGGCGTATTAACGGTAAAATTATATTCTGATTACGAAATAAGAGAAAATTCTTTGACGTTGTTAATATACGACGGCATATTACTAAAATTCAATCTGTTCGAGAAGCTACGTGTCTCCCGATCGGAAGAAGTTATTCGTCGAGTAAACAAAGTTGTCCCTTATTTGCTAAGTAATGAGAGAGCCGTCTTTAACGAATGTCGAATGACAAATGAGCGACTTGCCGGGTCGCAAATGATGATAAATGGAAAACCGATTCACTCGGAGGCAACAGTGGCCTCACACGGTAATGGATACTTTCCCTAAAAGTGATTTTCCTTGGTTTTTGCGATCGTAATAAAACATAAATCTCTGTGGTAAATATCGAAGCGTCGTTCTCCTAGTATCCTGTAAGAGTACAGTAAAAGTCTGTTTTTGTTGCCGCATTAAATTCCGCGCAAATAAATTTCTTGATACTTTTCTCCTTGGCATAGGGAACATATAACTCATAAATTATATATATATATATATATATATGTATCGAACAACAAAATGTATTCTTTATAATATTTACTTTCCGATTAGGAAAAACACTTTGACGTAATTTTAATGAAAAAGTTAGGGAATGTCATTGCAACCTCTTTGCGTGAAACAATTGCAATTAACTATTACTAATTATCGTAGCACGGAGAATGAAGATATATTGCCACACATAAGGCTTTTATTAAAAAACCGTGGTCGTGCTGTTTCACATCACATTAACGGTTTTATTCTTTATTCGATACTTAATGCCGAGCGCGAAATGACGCATGACGCGTGTAATGCTCAGAGAAGTTCGTGCAAAGTATCGACCTAACGATCGCGTGGAAGTCACCTCGTATCCTCGATTGAACATTAATAGGAGGCATATTGGAGCAGGAGGGGAGCGTTATCACATCCTCTCTCACGCCGCGCGCGATTACGGAAAACCCGGTAAGAAGATCGTTACGATTTATATTTATCAGTGTACCATATTATTATGTTTTTTGCAACGGCGGTATTAAATTCGCGACGTTGGTGCTCGTATTCGCGAGGCTTGTAACCGGAGGATGTTGCACGATCTCGAGACATGTTCGGTGGCATACCTCCCCCTTCGTTCGTCCTTTTTTTTTCATTTTTTTTTTTTTTAATTTACGACAGCTGTCCCCGCGCACGCTCGACAGCACCGCGATGATTAATGAAATCATCCGGGATGTGTTTTCATCTTGCGCACCGCGGGTGCCATTGGACGGTAGACCGTGTCCGATTTGATATACAGAAGTACCGCACCACGTTTTCTAGTTTTCTCACTTCGTTAGAATATACAAACCACACGGGAGAGACGTGACGTCGATGAACAGCTTGGATAAGATCGGCGGGATCTTTGATCTTATTGCCTGAGAATTAGCAGAGACTTGAAAATCTTTGCGTACAAATATTCCGAAGTGCGATGAATAAAAGGTCGAATAATTTATCGGTGTATCAAATTTTTTAATGAATATTTTAAAAAGTAATCTACGGATTTTCGTGAATCTAAAAATTCAATAATTAAAGATGTTTGTGATATAACATAAATTTTAAAAATATCGCTTTGGTATTTTAATTTGCTTTACGATTTACGGTCTAAAAGGCGAACAGCGAATTGCTCGGATGAATTTACGCAGGTGTCACGAAATTATTTCGCGTGTCTAGAGGGAACACGTGATATTAGCTTTGCGCTGGCAAGTGTTAAACACTTTCGAATATTAATTCGCTAAATGGAGACATGGCTAACGCTTCGCGTGATCGCAAATTAAAATCGGGATAAAATACACTTACGAAATCACGAATTGCCATGTTTACGTTGTGCTTGCTCACCGGTGCTATTTGCAATCTCTTAACTGCAACTACTTTCCTGCGCGACAAGCAAAATATAATCCAGTTGAGACACTAATAAAATTAAATTAATCCGTTCCACGTGTAATTATGTTTTGCGGTTATAAAACAAACGCGCAGGATTATTATTTACTAATTTATTCGCGGCGTAGATATATAATTGCTAATTCTATGAAGTTGTTAGCAATTTAATAATTGTGTCTTGGATTATCGCGTCGCGTGTGACGGGAATAACGAAGGAATGACAACAGCTATTTACTTTAATATCGTGACTCGATCGAGGCTAATCGAAGAGATTGCTTCTTGCGCCGTATGCACCGTACGTCACATTACGATGATTTACAACTGCAGCGTGTCACAGCACATCTGTCTGTTACGCCACTCGCTTACACGGAGCACGATCGATATCGATATAGAAAGTTAAGGTCGCCATAGAAGCGCAAGGTTATCCGCTGAATGAGACATATTTAGATGCAAATCGCACGCGCCCAATTGCCGCACACGATGCGCATTACTGCAAGGCAAATCCTCACCTTTTTCCGGGGAAAACTAATCTCTTTCGTGCGCGAGATAAAGACTTGAATAATTCAAAAGAGCGAGATATTAACAATTTAAGAGAGATTGTAGTTTTGAAATTAGGTTACGCCGGTCTTTGCTCGTGCATGTTAATTAACACGCGTAACCAATATTTTTCGTCCCATTATTAATTAAACTAATGCGAGCTCTATTCTTAAAGTAGATTCTCATATAATACGCACATCCGAGTAATTTAATGAAACCTTGCCCCGCCATTATTATTACACATGAGCGCGCACGAGATTATGTTTGCATCATCGCGATTACTTCACGCCATGGTCGTATTCTTACAGATCTCACGACAGAATTGTTTTGAGCGATCGCGGACCTCGGTAGCTTTGCTTAATAATAATTTCCTGTACAGAATTCCTAGTATGTATTCATCCATTTTGTAAAAATATTGAAACTCACGTGAAACTACGCGTTAGCATTTTTTTAGTATGATTTGAATTCGATTTCAATTTAAAAAAAAAAAACGTATCTTATTTCTTAGCAACTGTTTTAAGTGACTCATTTCACAAGTCACGATTATGATTCATTTTCCAGAAATTTTTGTGTCAATATGAAACATTTTCGCAGATTGGAAAGATATTCGTCTTTCATCTTTACTTTCAGCGAATAC